GCTGGTCCTCCCAAAAATAATTTTTCGCCCCCTTGGAATTTCAAATCGCCCCTCCGGAGAAAAAAACCTGGATAAAACACTGCTAAATTCTAATGTTTCGGCTGTACATTTGAGCCCAATATATAAGAATAAAGATGTTTTAATGGTTACTTTGGGAAATGAACACTGGAAAAATAAAATTCAGTTCTGTCTTTACATATAATTAATATCTAGACATTTCGGTAGGTATATTTTATGTTCTTAATAAGGTTAGATATATATCCCCCCGAGCAAAAATAGTGACACACCTAGTTCTTGACATTTTATTATCTAAAAGTCCTGAATTTATATTTCATATTTATACCATAAGTAGTATGTGTCAGTGCCTAACTATATGTCATATAAACGATCTTGGACTACAACAATTTGTTAAAGAAAAAAAGAAATATGTTTTATGCACTATTGTGTGTTTGTGAAGGAAACTCTTTCCTTATTCATCTTTTTTATTTTTCTGTCTGTTATCCAGTAATATTATTGTTTAGTTAATATGTGATAAGAACGAGATATTTAACTGTTATTGTATAAGAATATATTAAATAAAATACATGTAATATCTACTTGAACTAGGAATAATACTACTTCATAACAGATAGAAAAATAGAAAAAAATGAACATGGAAAGAGTTTCCTTTACAAACATACAATAGTGCATAAAACATATTTCTTTTTTTCTTCAACAAATTGTTGTAGTCCAAGATCGTTTATATGATATATAGTTAGGCACTGACACATACTACTTATGGTATAAATATGAAATATAAATTCAGGACTTTAGATAATAAAATGTCAAAAACTAGGTGTGTCATTATTTTTGCTCGGGGGGGATATATTCGACTGATTGTAATATTGAGAACACTATGTATTTAAAAACTATATTAAATGATGTATAATCATTGAAATTTCTTTTACGAAATTTAGAAATTACTTTGAAAAAAAGTTGATTTATTTCTTTACTTCGATTATATCATGTTTATTAATTTGCATTTATCAAGATTTGAGAAAAAAATATTTAAAAGAGAGCTATCAATCTTTTTTTGACTTAAACTATTACTTGTCATATCCGAATGATTTATCTTTTATAAAATAGTTTATTGATATTTAAGAAATGAAATTCATATTTATATTTAAACGATATGCAGTAATATCTTAATTTTTAGTTTATGTTTATTAAATATTGCAAGAATAATTCTCATATGAATAAATTCAAAATTAGTTAAATATGCTAGAAAATCTTTTTCAACTATTTCATCAATCATTTAAAATTATGTCAAATTAAAAAAAATATTTAAAAAACACTTTTGTTTTTTTGGAAATAAATTACTTTTATTTATTATCTAACAGTCAAGAAAAGGTTATAAAATATTTTCGTCATTTATTATTTAATATAAAACAAATCAACTTTTTAGAATATAACATTTTTGATCTTAATCGAAAATATTTCTCAATTGTGAATCATTCATAATATTTTTTGTTCAATCAATCGTGTTTTTTTTGTGGAACTCACATATAAAAATATGTGAGTGTAAGTTTTAAGTCGAAGTTTTCCGGCTCCCCCCCCCCCCTTACAGATATCCTTAGCAACCGTGGTCAAACGTACCTTTTCCCTAGCAATCGTGATCAAAGGAACCTTTCCCTAGCAACCGTAGTCAAAGGTCATTAAGTACAAGCTGTCCTTAGCAACGCTTCGTCTCAGTCACAGACCGTGACAGACATGGTTATATGAACATGTGAGTTCCACATTTTAGCCCCAAAGGGGCTGCGCTGACAGGCTTTTTTCATGACTACATAAATTCTTCTCAATATTAATAATTAAAAAATCCACCCCGAAAGTCTTAATAGAATTATAAAATATTAGATTTGTAATATACAAAAAAAAATTCATTTTTATTCTACTGACTATAATAAAAAATAGTTTTATGTGAAATCTGAAACATAAAAAAAAAGCTGTGAAAATGCTTTTTTTTCTCTAGTCATGGATGAATAATAAGCTTGCTCATTTGAAATCTCCGAAAACAAAACAAATTTAATACTAACCATTTATTCGATTAAAATGTGTTCCAAACTGAATTTTTGTAATATTTCGAAAAGAAATATCGATTCCTTTATATTGTCTCACTTCGGATAAGATCTTCAATGACATCATGAGATCTGACTTATCAAAATCGTCTAGATGTCCTAAAACAAAGATAAAAATTTTATACATTTAAAATACTTTTTTTTACTAAATTTAGCTAAAAAACAAGATCAATGAAGAAGGGCGTAGCCAGGGAGATGCCCTAGATGTCCAGGCATCTCCTTCCATAAAAATGTCTGGAGGGGAGTACAGGTCTAACAAAATTATTCGCCGCAGCCTAGAATTTTTCTGCTGGCGGGCACCCCGGTCCTTTTACCAAATTTCTGACTATGCCTCTGTCGATGAATGTCTACGAGAAATCTCATTTTTTTTCGTATAATTTTTTCGTTGAAAATTAACGTTCTGTAATTTCCAAGAATTAGACACAAAAGAATTATTATAAAATTATTGAATATTGTTGAACTTTGTCATCTATCTACTTCTTTAGTTATCAAAAGAATCATTTATATGATAAAACAATTTACTTTTGTATACTTTGATACAAGATATATTAGGAGATAAGTCATTAAATCGTTCAAGAAATAAATAAAGTGACGGATGTATGTCAAACCAAATATTGCTAATATGTGGCCAATTGAAAATATATGAATAATTACTAAAAGGAAAAAAATATTATTGAATGGAGAAGTTCTCAGAATTTTCATAAAAATAAATATCTTACATAAAATTATTAGAAAATTGAAATGTATTAGTAAAAGAAGAGAAAAGATGTTGACATGACATTATTGGATCAAATAAACATTTAACATTTGTCCATCGATGTGAAATAAAAAAAGGATGAATTTTAAATGAATTTGTTATTTTGTCAATATCATTAGATGATAATTGACATTCTGAACAAATATAAAAATTGAAATCAACTAAATTAGGTATTGTATCAGGTAAACAATATTGACGAATAAAATTTGCATCAATAAAAGATTTTAATATCTTTTGACATCCTGTTTTGATTAATCTATTACTTCTCAGATGAACTTGAAGTTTTTCAACATAATTTAAATTATTGAGAAGCCATTTTAAATAAACAAATTCTAAATCATCGTTAATGAAAGTTTTTAAAATAAAACATCGTAGATTTGGTACCTACAAAAGAATTCAATTGTTTTTATTAATCAAAAGAAACAATTATTTAAAGAAATTTATCAAATAAAAATTCTTACTTTATTAAACCAATTTCCATTTGATCGTCTCAAGAGTTCAATATTTGATTGCCATAATGCATAAGAACCCAATGAAAAATCAAACTCAACTGATATTTGTTCAAGATTGGGTACATGCTCAATAAGATTTTCAAAAAAACATGTTTGATTAAGTCGAATATGTAAACGACGAAGAGTCATACAACAAGAATGAAGTTGATATTGAATTAAATTAGAAGAGAGATTCGAGTTTGATGTTAAACATTCATGTATATTACTATCTGTCCTATCATTGCTAATATCAAGTCGAAGATATGTTAATTGACATTGTGCAGAGAATACTTGACAAAGTAATTGTTTAATCATATTCATTTGTTTTTCTAATGTTTGGTAAAAAAAATAAAATGGAAAAATGTTCTTTCATTAAAAAGATAATATTCTAATTTAAAACAGCGTCTTTTCATTTTCGAAATTTTATTTAATTATAAACAATATTTAAAAAGAAAATCTTTTTTTTATGAAAATTTTTTCTTTTGATTTTTGAGTTAATACTACAAAGCTCACATTCAAAAAACATCACTCTTTTCAATCGATTAAACTATAGAATATTAGAAAGAAGACTCGAAAAAATAGTAAAATAAATTTGAGTCCAATTCTATTTAGTGAGCCAAATAAACAGATCAATTAATTGACATGAAATGAATAAATGACTAGAATATGTTTAAGACAATCATAAGATAGGATCGAAAAAGATTTATATTTATCAGTAAATGAACGAATTTAATGCTAATAGCATCCAAAAAAAAACAAAAAATTCTAAACAGAAAAAAAATAATGGGGGTAAAATTTTCGATGCTAAAATCTGTATAAAATTTTATCTCCATATGTCTGGAAAGGTATGCATATATGTCAAACTCGAAAGTTGAATTCAACTATTCAACTGTCGAAGAGGGGGGTGACCAAAGTGAGGGTGAGGGGAGGGGTGAACAAGGTGAGGGTGAGGCGGTGACCTATGAGAATAACTTTTCTTAGATAAAAGGCTGAACCGTCTGTATCTTAATTTTCTATGATCCAGATGCGTTACTCATCAGAAGGCAGAAAGGGAGTTTTTTATCAAAATACTGCAGGACCCACAATGTGCTCCGAAGGAGCGCGTGGGTCTGAGGAAGGAGTAGGCGTCTCGGAGACGTAGTCTCCGAGCAGTCGCATGCATCAGTATGCGCTCGGGAGGAGCGCATGTTGATGCCGAGTCTGCTTTTCCCTGCACGACAATGAATGCGAGTAAGTTTAGACTATAAGACTGGGTGAGTATGTGCCTGTGGACGAGACTGCACCATCTGAGTGTGGGTGCAGGCGTAGTATCTGGTTGTGCTGAATGTGTAACGCCTGATTGTGGATGAAGTCGCAACATCGGATTGTGGGTAAAGGCGCAACATCCGATTGTGGCTGAAGGTGGAGTATTGCAGTGCGGTTGAAGATGAAGACATACAAACAGCTAGCGATTTTTGGCAGACCCTATGGCCTAAATATCAATCAGAATAGCGGAGTTGATATAGATTTTAGCATCGAAAATTTTACCCCCATTATCCTCATACCTTCTCAGAAATATGGAGGTAAAATTCGCATATAAGATGTCTTCTGTAATAAAGATATTTTAATACTACTAAGTCGAGGTACCCAAATTTTTTTTGAGAAAAATGGATGCTAATGCAATTAGCACTGAAATCCCATATTAACTCATATTTACATACTATTTTTTGTCATCTAAGTCTTTCTTAATAGCGAGAAAATATTGAATTGTTAAATTGTGTACTTGTACTTATCATACTAATTTCTGTGTCTAAGTAGAGAATTTCATGAAGTAATAAATTGATGTTAAAAGAAGACTTATCTAGTCGAGTGTAACCTATTAAGACGCACAAAAAAGTCTAGATTCATTGAAGTCATTCTAACAGAACATCATAACAAATCTTAAATATAGAGTTTTTCTATCTGAAAATTTACTCAGAAATAAATCTTTTGCTGCCTATAATATACTAAATATTTCAGCATTACTTAATTACTCGTTTCTTAGGCTAACTATTTTTAAAATGAATGCCTCATAAGACATTTCAAAAAGTACAAATTTCTGAAAAACCTGATATGATCAGAAGAACCTGCTTATTTCTTAGCTGAACGTTTTGGTAGATTGGAAGCAACATGATACGGATTTAGAGTAAATCAAACCAAAATTCCAATATTTGACATTTGTTAATATATCGTGTCAATCACCAAAAATCCATTGAAACGATCATAATTAGAGATGTACGGGACCAAATTTTTTTAAAACGCGGTCTTAGTCTCTATGGGTCATAATGATTTTAGGTTTTTGGACGTGGGTTCTGGTCTTAATTCGAGACTACAGACAATTATATTAGAATTTATTCACATTAAATATGAACAAATTCTTAAGATACTCATTCTTTGATTTATTCAATTGACGAATGCCATTTTTTTTAATCATATCTCCTACAGTTTGCTTTGGTTAGTATAATATATAAGATAATTCACTCACGAATATAAAATATTTCACTAAGTAGATTCTTTAGTTCATTTTTTTCTCGTGGTATCAGACTCAATTCAATCCCAGTAAATCTTCAAATTCTGGTTCCGATCCGATCCTACATATCTCGAATTATAACTCAAAAACAAAATACTCTTGGCACGAATCAGTCTGCATTTTTTCTTACCTCAATAGGTCCTATTTGATGAGATAACTCTTATGTTTTAGAAGTAACTTATCATCCAAAAGTTCCTTGTCAAAATTAAAGATATCAGTTTTTAATTTTTAGTACAAAGATCAATATATTCTAAATGTGTCTTCATATCTCATTGTGGTTACAGGTTATACCCTATTCTTGAAGCATAAATATCTATCATAACGATGACAATATCTAAAACAGCTCATTTTTCATAGAGTCAATTGAAAGTGTTAAAATGAGAAAATCTTTTTTTAATTTTTATAGAATATCTACGTTCTAAGGAACCAACTACAGATACTAAGAAGATTGTTTCTTCAAAATAAAACCCTCAGACTGAAACCATTCTCATTTCATCCTTAATGTCCTCTGCAGATTTGCTCCTAACTGATTCTAATTAGCATTTAACACTTAATTGACCTTCACTTAGCAATCACGTAATTATGAAAGTAGATGCGATGAACGTAGTGTTTTCTTTTTGTCAGTGAAAATTCTAGAAAAACGAATTGGAAATTGACATATTTATGACAGCTGTTCAATGAACTAGTTTCTACAAAACATACATAGTCTTACGAGGGATGATCTCATCTTGTTTTAAAGAATTTATCAAATAAATGGTTAGTTACCTTTATCAGAAACCATACACAATTGTCTTGTTATAAAATAAAACCGATTGAATACATGTTCATCAAATGTTAATGTAAGTTCATTTAATTGATATTTAATAAGATAAGATAAACATTGAATTACTGGTTCAATTGATCCACATCGAGTAAGAATAAGTGATTTAAGAGTAGGAAAACGAAAAATATTTTTATCATTAAACAACCATTCATAACAAAGATTACAAGCAATTGAATTTGTTTCATCAAAATGAATTCGTTGAATAGAAGAACAAAGAGATGGTGAATTAAAAATCAATGAAAATAATATTGAACAACATTTATTATACGATAAACCTCGCGTAATAAGACCACTGTTTAATCGATTGTCATTTATCGAAAGAATTGAACATATAAGAGAATTAAAACGAATATTTAATGACCATAAAGATATTAACTTATCGAACCATTCAAGATAAGAAAATATATGAAGAAGAATTTCATTAGGTAATGTTTCTATTCTACTAATCATTTTATCTAAAAAGAAAGATATGTTATACTTTTCTTTTTATAGATTCGATCACTATTGACCATCAATCAAATGATTGGTGTAACGAACAGGGACGTAGCCAGAGGGGTGGATTGGGGGGGATCGATCCCCTCCATGAAAAATACAAATACCTGGAGGGGGAGGGGGTACAGGTCGATCAAATTTTGCCAGCCGAAAAACAGTTTTTCTATATGGTGATCCCCCCTAAAACAATCAATCCCTCCCTTAAGAAAATTTCTGGCTACGTGCCTGGTAACGAAATAAAAAAATTCTATTCATTTTTGAAGATTATTTCAATGTAACTGAAGTTCAAACAGTTTTTAATTAAATTAGAAAATCATTTTAAAATAAAAAATCCTCAAAGTCTTGAGACATTAGTAAGTAAGATTCTTTGATCTATAAAGTGATGAAAAAAATCAAATGGAAAAAGGAATTTCTTTTTGTCCATAGCAGATTATTTGTATTTATTCACTATCATGAAAATGAGACATCTTTGTATATGTTGAACAGATATGAAAATAATAAACCAGTAGAATGAACTATATATAAACATTAATAGTTTAACTCGTGTTTTATTCATGGCTATGTCAATGAAGATATAAGTATAAAGAATAGAGGAGAACGAGTTAATAGAAAAAGGAACCTTTTTTTGTCCGGGAGAAAGCACATAATTCTTCTGTCTTAACTAAAATGGAACTAAAAAAAACAATAAAATACGTACAGATTATCCCAAATTAAATAATTTCGTCTAATATTCCAGAGTTGTTATAGCTGTTCATCAATATACAATGAAGAGAAAAAGAATCTATCTTCGTTTCTCTTTCATCGGAGTCAAACGAATTCGACGAAAAAAGGTCATATTCGGTCAATACAGTGAAATATTTTAATGTTCGTTCATCTAATATAAGATGAAATGTTATTATTCTTTTTTTTTCGTCATGTTGATGGCAATATGACGGTCTAGCCCGATTCGATCCTATTTTCTCTCATCCTCACTGCCGCTCTTGTGATGTTTCTTTGAAGTTCGAGACAAATTTTTCCAATGAGAACTAGATCGGAGACTGCTCCAGCATTGCTGCATATTTTTATTTTTGACGTACAGAAAAGAGAGAAAATAGATATGACTTATGGAGAATTAGGAAAAAGAGATGTAACAAATGTAAGAAAAATATATCTGGATTATTTTTTTTTTCAATCCTATAATCTGTAATAAATCGAAAACAAAAATTAATCTAGTTTTAGTAAAATATGAAATCTAATTGCGAATAAATCACAGCATTTATGCTCCCAGGTCGAAAAGTACGGGCCGGTTCCGGCAGGAAAACACCGGAAGTCGCCGGAACTGGGTGGCAGTATTCCGGCCGGAAATTCTCCGTATTTTTTCCGGTGGCTTGCCCCCCGC